GACAGTCTCCTTTCCGCAAATGCAAAAGCAAACATACCAGACAAACGCTGACTTTGGACTTAACACCCACATTCAGACAATGCGGGTGGGAGAGTATCCGGATCAACAGCTCCGTGGGGGTTGAGAGAGCATATGCAGTCATAAAATTCCGAAACTGTAGAGCGTTCCATTTTTAACATTCAGGGTTCTACTTCAACGGAAGGGCAAAGTATTCGGCCCATCGGTCGAGGCCTTCTTCTTTATTCCAGATGTTCACTCTATTCCGATCCTTGATGGTTTCGCTCACAGGTGGTTTCCGGGGACCGCTTGTACGGATCAACTGAAATAATCCTCGGGCATTACCGGCTTTCTGAACCTCTTCCATTTCTTTAGCTTTCTGTATCCACAACACTTCACAGTCGGTTTGTACGCTCACCTTCACTTGACGTCTGATAATTCGTTGCATCAAGTCATGTTCGGGGCCGCCTGGGATATTTCTCCCCGATTTCAGCAGTGCCACCGTTCGGCCCGATATCCAGTGCCTGAGTGAGCCTGGTGGCGCTATGCCACAGGCGAAATTCCCAGCACTATCAAAAGAGATGGCAATCTTGTCTCATCTGATGGTGAAACCTGAAAAGACTCAAAAAGACGGCTCTGGTAAGTTAATCCAACATCTAGATCTGCCAGTCTTTTAGTTGCCAAGTGATTTGTCCGCATCTTACGCGACCCACGTAGGGAGAAGCGACTGCGGACGAGCACGTGGTCGGAATCCACAAAACGTGTTCCAAAGCGGCTGGCAGTCAGTTATTAATCCATGTCATCAGTAATTGATGGCAATGTGGTCGATTTGAGTTTGTGGCCGGTATGTCGTTGGAGGACACCATGTGGCCAGACGACTTCGGCTATTTCGGAAGTTAGTACTGGATGAAAACAGCCTGTGATCAGCACACAGCTGAAGCAATCATTTCCCATTGTCCGTACGTACCGAGTACAATCCATGTCGACCTAATTGAGTCTCAGAAACGCTAAGCCTTCCCAGTTGTGCATTCATATCTCCGGCAAACGCCACAATGTCTGAGCTTTTAGCTCGCCGAAGCAGGGCACTCAACGTGTCATAAAACCTGCCTTTGTCGGCGTTGGAGCTACGGTCAATCGAGGTGCAGGCAGACATGGTAAACAGACATCTACCAACTTCCCGGTTGTGATATCACATCACAGACGATGTCAGACGAACCGCACACAGGCGACTATCAACAGGTATTTAGTCAAAAAGGATACTTCTACACGGTGAATGAAGACGACACCATCCCCGGCACATCCGGCAGCAGCAGCCTCTGGATCGTCAGAAGTGCGGAGCCGGAAGCGAGTGGAAACTGATGGGGCGGTTAGCTCAATCCCTGTCTTTGGATCCTGAATTCTTGTTTCTGAGACACAGCGTACATCAATGCCAAGCGAGTGCAGTGTGAGAGCCAGAGCAGCTTGTTGTCCTGCCTGTTTGCGAGTGCGGATAGTGAAGGCGGCCAGATAGACTGGGTACCGAGGCCTGAAGATTGATTTGGAGATACATGAAGATATCGATGCCATGTGACGAGCAGCCAAACCGATGCAAAACGAAAGGAGTCATCGGTCCTAAGAGCTGGGCCTACAGGAGGAGAGTTATTGATAGGTTGGGGAAGGGGAAGAAAGCATATGTGGAAGAGACAGAAGAGAGGCGTCAACAGCAGCCTGTTGTCGCCTACCTGCCCTGCTGCAAGCAGCAAGTAAGGCGACCCAGCTGATGTCAAAACACGACGATCTAAATGGCATGAGTTTTTTGTATATGTGCAATTCATGCTTGCACGTCGGCTGGGATACCGTCATGGTGACCACACCTGGACAGGAGAATGATTATGGTCCTCAACCGAAACCTTTCGTTCAAAAACCTAATCGCAAGGCAGCGGTGTTTGGCGGAAAAGACTGTGTTCGTCAGACTAACTACTGACAAACCTGGTAGGAAGTACTCTGAGAGTGTCGCACAGACACCCACAGTTTAGTTCAACGGGTCCCGAAGGTACACAAATCGTCACACCACGGTAAAGTCGTCTTTTCGTGAAGGCCAGGGAACGACATTGCACACTGTTGGGAGTTTTATCCGCTGCACACCAAGGACGCCTCAACAAACAACTGGACGTCAAGTGAAACAGTGGCACTATTTGAATCTGGGACAAATAAACCCGCCGCGCCTCACGAGCTATCAGATGTCAAATATGCGCTATTTGTCATGCCTCGTCGACAAGGAGTGCTAAGAAAATAAAAGGGCGACGAATGCCGGGAATTCCCGAAGAATATTTGTTATTTCATGAGATCAATCCTCCAAATTCACGTGAGCGAGACCATCAAGAAGAAAACGGGCGCGAACATCTTCAATGAAGACACCTTGACCACCTGATCGAGCAGTTTGAACAAATCTCTTGTCACTCAGTGGCATTCTCGAATTACGGTTTTTACAGTTGATGATGGCTCTCAAACTGCATTAACACCCTGGACAGTGAACTCGGAATCCTTTACGGCCACTACGGTTTGTGCTGTATATCTCCCTTCAAGCGCCACAGATCTCTTGATTCGGACGACCTCCCATTTCATTGCTCAAGAATAGTAGTCAAGTCCTCAGTCAGCGGTTCTCTGGTCTACCTTCCCCCACTTGGGAAGATTGCCTCAGGCAAATTGGGAAGATCAGCAATAGTATATGTTTTCAAAGTGAACTCGGTGGCCGCAGAACGATCAGCTTGGCTCCAGTCGTAACGTGACTCTTGACCTCATTTGTCCCTCTTGTCTTTACCTGTGATTCATAAGGTGTAAGCGGAATTCCGGCTTGATAGAGGTTGTGCTGACAACAACATATTCACTCACCGGTAGGGACCAGAGCAACGCTATAAGTGTAAGCGGCCCGCAGTTTTGTTAATCCTGAGGCTCATTTGACTCTGCTCATAGAGCTGTTTTATTTAATAAGCCTGTTCAGGAAGGAATGCCCGACGTTTGTCCGTATGGTAAGTTCTACATAGTCTCAGAACTGCAAGTGCGTAAACGTAAACGGGGAGCTCTCCGAAAATCTTTTGGGCAAAAAGTGGTGCCCGACAAAGATGCCCACCCTCTCTACTCCTACAAAACTTGTCGATCTGGAATATACAGGCAACATCGTTCTCGTCTCCGAAATGGAGATAAGACGCGGTCCTTAGGTGGACTGGCCAAAGTCGTCCCGTCCTTTAGTATGGGCTTTACAACGAAAAACGGTATGGTCATGATTCTCGACATGCAGTCACTGAAGACGCCACTTTAGTCGTATTCGTTCAGCTGTAGCACCCTTTCAGTGTCTAGCTGCCACTCCACCAGAAGGGAGCACAAGAGAGGGGATTCTGCCAGGTTGCCCGGGCAGAGGTCACGTTCGAACCACGGACCTTCCGATTCGCGCTCCAATCCATGAAGCAGCTCGTTACCTGCAACCCAAGGATAGGCACTAGAGGCTATGGAGCGCTGTGTGTATATCCGAGGGATAGAAGTGGAAGGGGAAGGGCTTTAGTGGTCAACATGCTACATTTCCAAACACTCATTCAGGAAGCCTGGATAGAAATTTTAATAATAAAGTCACTAGGAAGGATTATTATCCACATCCTGCAGCGTCTCCAACTTTCCAGAAGCTAAGTCACGCGAACCACATTCTGGAAAGCAGGTCACGCTGACGGTAGTCCGATCTGCATGGTTTTCTATCACGGCTGAAAATGAGAGGAGCCGAGGACCACGATACACTGCAGAGGCTGGTATCGGTCTTCACACGACAGACGCTAGAATAAGGCCCATCGGCATACTTTTGTGCATCCAGGACGGAAAATATTCTGCTGGTGCGTATACACAGGCTAGCATCTAGAGAGTACCGGGACCACGCAACATCGACTACATCGATATGCGCCTACAGTCGGATCTATACACCCTTTAATACATCTGTGAAACCTTTTGTCTCAAGCATCACTCCGGCCTTCATGAAGGTGACTGAGGTTTCGACTCATTAGCCTGTGTCTGAGAAAAGAAGACCATCGCGGCCAACCAGAATTAGCCGACAGTAGCCCCCATTCTCAAAAGGGCCTGAAGTGAGTATAGTAATCATAAAGGAATTAACTTGAATCCCGCTAGGAATAGACGCCTTGCATCACTTATTTCATGACATTCTATGAAGCCGCGATCGGAGAAGAGCAGTTAAGATTCCGGTGGGGAAGGGGATGTATGTACTGCATATCCACATGAAGTGTTACAACAACGGCGTGTGCATAGGCGTCCTGCAATCTTGACGTTATTCAGATTTAATCGTGCATTCGATTGTTGCCGGTTCCTATTTCCAACAATCTTGTGCAACAGGGTATGCCACAGAGGCCCGCGAATATCATGCGCCGTTTGTATTCACGTAATCATGGAGAATAGAGCTCTCCAAATGCTCCCTCAAGAGAAGTGGTGTACGACGTGACTACCGGCACAAGTTTTGTTTAACTGTCACTGGTAGGGTGATGAGACGAATCCTAGAGGGTCTCCAAGACTCTGGTTCTAACATCCTTCTGAGCGAAAACCCTCCCGAAAAGAATGGCCAGCCCAAACGTCACTAGAAAACCCAAGCAGGATAATCGAGTCCTTTGGTATGTGCTCCGAGCCACCAAGTGCAAAGTCATGTTTTGGGCCGTAAGGGCTTTAAATATGCGTTTAAGCATTCGAGAATTGACAGTGAAAATTATAGACCTACATATGTATCTCGGAAGCTGCATTAGCTCTGACGAAAGTGTTACAGACGAAGTCAATGCACGAATTTACCGAGTTTACCTATTTGCGCCACCTGTAGCATCAAAAAGACATCACATGGAATCTCAAAGCACGTGTGTGTCAGACTAGTGCGAACCATACTGTTGTATGACTGGAGAACTTCGCACATCATCATCAACGTCGGCTGTAAGAACCGTGTACTTGCCGTACAGTGGTTGAGGCTGCCACAGTTTCGTTCACCGATGACTTGGGGAGGTATGGTAAGTAGCTCCGCATTGGAGGCGGGAGCTGATAAATTAGTGCGTGAATACAGCCATGTCAATGGACTGTTAAGTGGGGGGATTGGGAAGACAGCTATGCATTGAGGCATTAAAGGCTGGTAGTGAGTCTTTCATGACCACATAAATGGCGAAGTTGAAGAAGACAGGTAAAGAGGACAGCCCTGAGGACACCACTTGATGTGGTGAACTAGGGCGAAAGCTTTCCGTAGACCTTCACACGGCCGCGGGAGTTGGCGTACAGTGCCTTAATGAGGGTTAAGAATTTATGGGGGAGACCTTTGCGATGCGGACACTACCACAGTGCTTACGGTCCACAGAGTCCAAGACAGCCTTCAGATCAAGAAACACAACCATTGTTAATTGCTGGAAGCAGTGACGCTGTTCCGGAAGTTGTCGGAGGGTAAAGATATGATCGATACAACCTCTTGCAGGACGGAGCCCAGCTTGGTTTTCACAGGTTTCTGTGTGTTCAATCAACCTTCGAAGGACAGGGACAAAGAACACCTTCGATGCCACAGCTAACAGGCTGATACCACGGTGGTTTTCACACACTTCGCACACTTCGGTGACGTATCTATAGCTGGAATCGATTGGGATCAATGAATTCGCAGCAAGGTGATCAGGAAATACGGTCTTTGACGAAGTTGTCTGACTTGAATTCATAGAGTAGTGCGATTAATGTCTAGATCGAGTCAACGTCTGCTGAGGAAAGCGTTGATTTCCATGCCTAGCTCAGAGTAGAGAAGACCTTAGGGTGGACAGAATGACACTACAGAACAGAGTGAAGAATATTAGGAAGAGTTGGTGTTGGGGCCACGCGACGCTCCGTGTGCTTGGCATTGAACATCAATGCGTGGCGTTCAGTTCCCACTCGGATTGCCTTACTGAGTATTAGATGCGTAGGCAGGCCGGGTGCCTGTGGTAGGCTGGACTCCAACCCTACTTCATTTTTATTCTTTTCATTATGGGGCTTTAAGTAAAGTAACTCAAATGCAACGAAACATTAATATTCTTTTCCGGTGTTGCTGTCAGTCAAGATATTCCAACCAAAGATACGGTTATGGCACGCCGGCCCGGGGCGAGATGGCTCAGTGGTTAGAGCGCGGATTTATTAAACGGAAGGTCGTTGGTTCGAACCCAACCTCTGCCTCTCGACTTCCCCTGTCGAGAATTGAGCAATCTGGCATTATCCTAGCACTTCTGTTCCTTTTGGAGGTACGACAGTTTGGCACCGAAAAGGTGGTAAGGCTGAACGATTTTGTGGTGTCGCCACATCCTCACGGATGTCTAATGCAATGTGTTGGCATAGTGATATCTCGGGTGAACTGATTGGTAGTTAATCAGGTGGCTGTTGTTCTGTTTGCCAAGCTTTGGCGTTTCGTCACTACTCCTTAATGAATGGAGTTATAGAAGACACATCTGATTGCCAGGCATCCGCATACTCTCTGAGGACGAGCACAGAGTCGAAAACAGCCTCCAGGTTCGAAAAGTAACATACGTTTGACGTTTGGAAGTCGCACTGTTCCGGGACCTGTTTCAAAGTAAACATATGGTCAATGAAACCTTGCTCAGGAAAACGTCCAACCTGATTCTCAAAAACATCCACCGTGAGATGTAATCAACGTTCGCAAAATCACGCCGGAGCACGTTGGATGTCATGGCTACTAGGCTGATGCCACCACGGTTTTTGCATGATTGATTGTGACCCATTCTGAACACTGCAACCACGGTCAAAGCTTTCTATTCCATTGCTTTGGTTCTACACCTTCTGTAATAGGGTTGTCAGGCTGCTCATATGGGTTTCACCAATATCGAAAAGCACAAAACAACATGGAGTAATGAAGCTGCCTTGAACTACTTCCTAGCGGAGCAAAATCACGTTATAAGAGTTTGATGTCAGTTGTTTCCGAAGGACTCCGTGTGTCGAAAAGGGAAATTAATCGACGTAAGTGGCTTCCATGGACTCAGCTTGTGATTAAAAATGGGTGTGCTGTAGGGAAGCTTGATGCTGGGGTACCACAGTTAGTTCAGAAGAGTGAGGCTTAGAAGCACTGTCATTGAAGTTTCGGGACCGAGAACTCTATCAATTTTCGAGAACATCACTACACAAGCTTCGACTGACCATTAAGTACAGTCAACTGTATGTATCAGCAAAAGTATAGGAAACGGACGAAATTGGTGGCCGAGCCTAACAAAGAAATTTCGCCTAGGTAGATAGACGGACTCTGTGGATTCCGTGAGGGTGAAAGTAGTTATACATGATATCTACATTTTATATAGGCGGTTTCAACGTTAATGCGGCAGAAGGCGTTTCGACGTTAGGCTATCACATTTGAACTCAAAACTCACTTCTTTTTTGTTTCCGACTCCGTGGGTACCGGCCATTTGCCATTCGAATTATTTTCTTTTCTAGCTTGACCCGGAAAAGTGAGGACACAGTGCAACGCGGTTGGACTGCTGTGGCTTCAGGATCAAAAATTTCGAAGCTGGCACAATTTGGTTACGTGCCTGATGCTGATGCATTCAAACAAAAGAGTCAATTTCACGGATTCACGGGCTGATACACAGGATCATGCTTCCTGGGTCGAGTTAGTTCCTGTCGTTCAGCGACTTCCGTTCGCCTGGAAGGAATGAGCTAAAAAAAGGTTGTACCACCGCTCTTTAAGTCCATAGCGTGGGGTTGTAATCTTGCCAGCGCAAGGACTCGACCAAGTGCTAAAAGTGCTTTAAACCGGGTACTGAATGCAGCGTGAACAACCATCGGAGGAAGATTATCTGACGCATCGACTACCCAAAATGAGAAGACTTGTTACTTAATTAAGGTTGGTGCTCTGAGCTCGAAAATTTTACCATACCCCCACCGCGTTTTACTTTGGTCTCCATTTAAAAAACTGTTGGCCAAACCTTGTCCAAACAGTGCATAAGTAAGTATTAGGTTTCTTCGGAGGCGAAGATACTCCAGGGTAATGATGTCAGGCACCATTAGACGCGCTTCGTTGTCCACGGATTTTAGGCAGCAACTATTTTCGTAGCAGCTCGTTGGACACGTTCAACGGGTGTTCCGTCGCTTTCTCGTCCTGAGTAGACAAACTGATAGGTATATACAAGAAGTGGTCTGACTTAGGCCCCATAGGGTATTGGGAAGTCCATGCGAATAATACGGAGAGAAGTACATTGAACCTTCCGTAAACGAAGAATGCCTTTTGAGTCAGTTTTTCGTGGTGAAATAAGAGGGACAATCTTAAAGAGAGTCGGATAATTAATTCATTTTGGCACCTACCCTTGTGTTGTCTTCTGGTCCGTTCTTACCGTGCAGGACAAGGGCGTTCGTTGGGTCTGGTCCGAATGACATATGGACGTAGTTTTTTTGTAATTCAGAGGTAGGTGCCAGTCCAATTACCACGGCCTTGGTGCGTCCTATATTGTCGAATGGGCTAAACTAAGCGGTGATGGTCGCGTGTTACTTATTATGCAGTGGTGATATACCAGACCCGGCTTTACCGAACGAAGCAAAGGAGTAAGACTATAAATATCTATGTTCAGTCAAAATTCTTTGACCACTTCCTCCATAGTCCCATTGTTAATTAGGGTTGCAGTTATATATGTACGCGTGTACGAATTTGTCCGTGCCTACTCGAGCAAAATTGATAAAGTGGTCAAATGTGGATCTGTTGAAGACGCACAGGTTTCTTCCAATTTCTTTTATTTCTGATAACGTGGCATAGCATTTAACTTGGACTACGCTGCTTCGGAAACCAGGGTTACGATCGCGGTGAGAAATGTAGGTTCTTCCAATCGAACTGCACATTAGTGGAGGACGCCCATTTGTTTGTGGACTACATCAGTAAATAAAAAGACACGCATAAAAAGGTGTGCTGAAAGCTATATAAAGTGTACTAAAAGTGAGTATATGACGAAAAAACCTTAGGTAGACACAGTAGAGTAGTAGTCAGTATTCAAAAGTCAGTATTCAATTTAAGGAGGATACGAACAAATTTTTCCATGTTGTCTGTCAAAGAGCGTGGCTGCAGGTGGAACGATCAGCGTGGTATTTGAACGGTGAAATAACAATGACACTGTTATTATTCTCATGGTTACTCACCGCAAAAATTTGGATGTTTGGATGTCCTCGATCCTTCCCCTTCTATGGTGATTATTCTTTCGTCAAGAAGCGTGTTCAATTTCAACCTCACGGTGTTCATAAAATATTAAACCATCGTTAGATAGTAAGTTAAATTCAGTACTTAGTGGTCAATGATGACAGTGATATTAGTTACAAATGACTGTAAATGGTGTATCTATACATGCACTTGGCCTGATGCATTCTGGATGTACAAATCATGGAATATACTTCCTGCTCAAGAACGATTCTAATTTTCGTCACTAAGGTATCGTAATAATCCTAGAATGTGTTTTAGGTGAATGTGAACAAAAACAATGTAGCAACTCTCCTCAAGAGCCTTTGCCTCTCGAAGATTGGACAGAACCGTGAGTAACACTGGAGTGCACACAGTACCGACCGCGACTACTGCAAGTAAGATGTACAATTTACACTGAGCTATTTTGTCAGATGTCCTTTGTACGGTCGAACATCATTTCGTCAACGAGTGAAGCTTAGGTGCTGGGAATATACATTTCTGTGTACAGCGAGTCGCACCGTTCTCAACAGTTAACTTACCTCCTTGTCGTACAATTTTCTCGAAATGTTCGCCATTAACACAAGCAAGACTGATTTATAATCTCCTTAACTACTGTAGGACAGACGCTTGGACAAAATGGTAAAACCTTGTAGCACTGGTAACACGAGGAAGCAAATTACCTGCTATTCAATAAGTTGTTGAATGGTATTTTCTGGATCCATTTCAGAAGGAAAACTTTGAACCTTCTTAAATTGACAACGCACGCCTTTGTATTACTCAGTGTGTGATGATTTGCGCATCGCTACAACGAACCAGCATTGCTAATAAACTATACTTGAA